ATCATATATATATATATATATATATATATATATATATATATAAAAACACGGAGAATATAAAATTCGAATTATTTGAAATAATTATTATATGATTACAAAATAAGAAATATTTTTCAGAAACATGATTTCTAAAACTAAATCTATGCGAAATATCTTACAAACTTGTTTAACAAGATTTTGAATATACATTTTTACAATATGTAATTATAAAAAACATTAAAACATATAATGCGAAGTGGTAGGCGAAGTGTTTTCGTAATTCCGAATCCAAATTAAAAACCTCACGAGATTCGCGTAAATCCGCGAACGTCGAGCTGTGGATTATCCGGATATGCTCGAGTAAATGAATAATTATCATAGATTATTTAGATATCTGCGAAATCTGGATTATATTTATTGTCATATTATTTGTTTATTGTCATATAGTTTCACGATGAGAAAATGTTATTTCAGAGGTAGTGCGGTTGCTGGAGGAGGAAGATCGTGTCTAGTATAAGTCATGCGGATTATGCGACATGGCGGCGAACGTGTCTCTACCCCAATCTCGCGAGGAGGAGGAGGATTTTTTTCTGAAAATATCCTGGCGACCGCCTGCCGACAGGATCGCTTGTCGTGTAAGTGGTAAGGAACTTGTGCGCGCCAGTACGTCTCATTGCTCATCGAGATCTTCCTGCATGGACAATCTCAACTTTCTTTACGATTGACTGAAGTGAAACATTAACGTGATTCCCAATGTTCAGTGACATGCGTATTCTTGGCCTAACGGAAACCTCAGATCTCATTTTTTATAGCTTTAGTTAATAGATTTTTTATAGCTTTAGTTAATTTATGAAAATTTAAACGCATTTGTCTTACAAAAAAACCTCATTAAGTCTTTCTGAAATCGCGTAAAATTATTTTTCTATCCTGCATTGAATCAATTGTTTACATGACTAATAATTAAAAAATTAATGTTTTGTATAAAATAATTAAAAATAACGAGCGAAAGTCTTGTAGATGTGTAACAATTCTATATGCGTAAGAAAAATTAATTTGCCGAGCGTATTACATCTTAATAAACTTGTAAAATTGTTGAAATTAATACTTAACTAGTAGTTCGTTAAGTCTAATCAATTAATATATTCTTAACAACGATGATCTATTCCAAAATGGACACGAATATATTAAAAATTGTATTTTTGCATCGAAATTTTTTCTTATTCTATTCTTTAAGTATAATGATAATCTAAATATAATGATGCCGCTATGAATATTCGTGATATTGTAAAAAATACTATTTCCAGAAGATTAATAATTAACCTAATTTTGTGAGATAATGTCTTATATGCTTGGATTAAAAAAATGACAAAACGCTTTGGGCACTTCCGCCGGCAAGCTCTTAACCCGGAGCGATAAAGTATATTTATCTAATAAACACAGTTTTATGCGAAAAACAAACACAGTTATGCCATTTTTGCTTAACGCCTGCTCATTTATGTTACTGCTAATTTCGAGAGACGGTTTTATATTTCATACTTGCGCACACTCGGTTATTAAATATTTTTACATTTATTACATTTATTCCGGAATAGAAACTGCGTTTTATTCAATTTTCATGGCTTCCGACGAAAACCGCAAAACTTCGCGCTCCGCGCGATGCATTCAAGAGAATCTTTGATCAAGTACATTATTCAACGCGAATATAGAAACGTGCCGTATGATATGTAGTTCACATATCTTTCGTCATGCATACCTTTGATACACCTGTTGCACACGATTCATGGATCTGTCAGAGAATAACCCTTAAATGAGGTATACGACTACGTTACTTGGTTGCAAAGTGTATCAAAGCTGTACTTGCTACTCTCTCATATTTATACGATGGCACTTCAATATGTTACTGGTCATGTAACGAAGGCATTTTCCGTGTTACATAACACTGTATCGATTGCTATGAAGCGTGGTATTTATTCTGAAAGATTTATCTTACTTCTATTGAATTTATTTATTCTTTTAACATATTATTTAAGAAATGTTTCCTTGGTGAAATACTATACAGTAGTATCCTTTTATGTTAGATCGGGTTGAATTTACGAAATTGTAAAAATGTGTCAGCAATAAGAAATAAATTTTCAAACGTTCATCGTCGAATAACTGTGTTTGTTTCGATACAATTTTTAATCAATTTTATATAATATTTTAATTGTAATTGTTCTTTACTTATTAAAAATAATATCTAAAAAGATTTATAAATACGAATTCCTCTTTACGAACGAATCGTTACATTATAAAATATAGAATAAATTATATTAAGTAAATTATATTAAGATGAACATCACAGCTCAGCAGCATTGTGAGATAATTGTTCGCGCAAAAAGTTACAGATTGCGTATTGTAAGTAATAAAATAAACCCCTGATGTTCTATATTGTTCTGAAACATTCGAAAGTTCTTCTTGCGACATGTGTAATGAAATAGGATAAGATTTGATCGACTTTACAGATAGTCACTGCGCAGAGATGTTTAATAAATTTTTTCAACACAATTCTGCAGTCTGGATTATTTTTTGATCAAGCATTTTTCTTCGTTCTCTCCTAACTTTCACTCTCTTCTGATTATTAAACATGTTCTTTAATGTTCTCCAACATTTCTTTCGAGCCACATTAGAAAAGTGTTTTATTTTATAGCCTGCACGTATTGATTTCTAAATAGAGAAGAAGCTTGAATGGATTTTAAATCAAAGAACATGACAATTTTATTTATATTAACAATATAAAAGTATGTAATAATTGAGTAATATCTGATTGTAAAATAATATCATAACGTTCCACTAATTCTGTCAATTCTAATTTATTATGAGCTATATTAAATCTTTTTTATCCTTTTATTTTCTTATAGCTGATAAATAAATGTTTATCGATGATATCAGTAAAGCAAATTAAAAAAAATTAAATTGAATGTAATGAAATGACATGAAATTTATGTAGTTTTTTATTATGCAATTCAACATTTAGCACAGAGATATCTACAAATTATATTTGCTTGTGCGCTTTTATCGAATTTTCGGTCCAACTTGATTTCGTTGATATATTCGACATTGTCAAAGAATATTTATTGTCACTAGAAAATTGGTTATAAATTGCCAAGAGATTTTTATATCGCGCGTTTGTCAAGGTATATCACGCAATATAATAATTAAGAGAATATAAAGCAGATTTAAAAAAATTTATCGTTCTTTGTTATATCACTTATCGGGTTATTTATACGTATTCGATAAATCAAGCAATTGTAGAAAGGATTTTTTATTATTCTTCTCCCCTCACGATAAAATATATGTAGAACTCTGGAAATTAATAAAAAGTTTAATTGAAAATTTTTCAATGGAATTTAATATCGAAGGCTTCCCTCAATTTTTCGTTGTATGTACCGATAACTCTCTCTTTCTCTTTTTCTCTCTTACTTGGATTAATAATGCTTACTGAAAAGCTTGAGGTAAAACTGGGTTATACCAAAACGCGCATGAGGTCTTACAAAGCTCAGGAAAGGATATTGTCCCACGCCGATCGTTTGATCTCGTGTCGTATTGTCGTCCACAAGAGATTTACCCCAGCACAAATTATTAATCAGATGCTGGTTTTAAAGAATAAAAACTTAATAGAAAAAAATATATCACGTACTTCAATATACAACATCGCGTGCGTCCGTCGCACCAATGATGTTTAATTTCGTTCTTGCGACGTAAAGTTCCGGGAGAACTGATGTAAGAGCGTAACGGACATAAAGTTATTGAATAAATTAATTAACGAGACATGTGCGAGATAGCTCTTGTGTTGCTTCCGTGGCTTTTTATGAGTTTCGAAAAGTAAGTTCAGTAGGCACCTGACGTGCGATGTGTCGAGTAATAAGACCTCACGGGACATTATGCATAATGCATAACGGTTTTGCGATCGTGTTTCAAGAGCTGTTGTCGTTGCGGGGCTGTTACTATTTAATGAAAATTTTCCTTACTTTATGACAGGCTTAGTTCGATTTCATAAGTTGCACGATCTCTTCTCTCGAGATATAAATCTCGTAAGTAGTAATCTTGTAACCGAGACAAGATTGTACAAAGATTCTCTGTTTTTCTTCATCATATTTTATATTCCGTTTCGTCATTCTTAAAAACATTGTACTTCTCTTATTGACAGATTGAGATTCGTTCACTGCAGTGATAACAAATTGAACAAATAACATATTTGTTTTGACACAATATTACTTATTTATTTAATTGCGTATATTACATAATTTCTAAAATGCGTGTAATTCCTAAAATCATAATTATAAATTGTTAATACCTGCAGTGAGATACGCACGTTTAGGTGATACATTTAATTAATTCCTGTCATCATCCCTTTTCTCTCATTACCTATTTCAAGTTATTTATGCGTATATAAATAAATATATAATTATAATTATATTATGGTATTACGCAATATGTAAATTGGAAAGCTTACTTAACGAATTATTCGATTATCTAAAATTGGCTAGGAGTACTATTATTTCTTGTGGAACTTGTCATACATTTTACATGAGAGAGAGAGGAACAATAGAAAAGCCACTTTAATTTGCATTTTGAATTAACGGTTCAAGTTAACTCGACCATTCAATGGTATAAACCAGATTTAATACCATCAGACAGCTATTATTTAATCTGTCTTTAGGAAACATGTGCTTTTTGCAGCTGTACCTCCGATACGCGTTTTAATTTATATGACAGTCAACAGCTACTTGTTAACGCAGTTTACAATCAATTAGTTATCGAAAAGTCCTTGTTTACTATTAATTAACATAAATTATTATCAACAATCTCATTATATATACATATATTTACTGCTATTTATATTATTGTTTATATTTATATTTTACAATTCGGTCATCTTTTTAAAGGCAATTCAAGTTTATGGTGTTTTTTAATATTCACGTATTCTCATGCAGATCAAAGACGTTCGTATAAATATCGCATTATAAATTTTATAATATAATGTAATGCAAAATTATCCTGTAAATAAAAAATGCATTGTTAATGCGATAATTACAACTGTTCACGTTATAATATAAAAATAATGGAACTGAGTGTCTCATTAGCTATGCAAAACGACCGCTTAATTCTCTTTCCCATTATCGACGAAAAATTTATTATTCGAACAATCGCTGGAAGGAAGACAGAGTGTGCTAAAAGGATTTTCTATCTGCGCGCATATGTTCTTGGAATTTTAAAAATATACGATTATATTGAGAGATAAAAATCATGTACTGAAAAGGACAACTTTAATCCACTTCTATTTCCGCGTTATCTTAATCAACTTTTTCTTTATGTCGTATTTCGAAATTCACATACATTTCAAGAAACAAACAAAACTTAAACAAAAATTATGATAACAATTTGAAAAAAACGGAGTTTTCCAAATTCTTTACTATTTTCTTTATATTGATTATTTCCTTTATATCCATTCCATATTAATAAAAATGTTACGTGCTAGTTTCCACAATAAGTAAGTATTGTATATTTTATTTACTTAAAAAGCAACAACAATTAAGAAATAATTTAAATTATATTCTTAAATATTTAAATTATATTCTTAAAATTTCTTAAAAAAATAATAGTATTAAATTTGAATAAAAAAAGTTTGCAAAAACTTACACTTGTTACACATTAAAAAATTTAATTATTTGCGATATGCATCGCTGAATCAACAGGTTTTTATTATAATCTATTATTATAATCGTTCTATTATTATAATCAATAAAGAGTTTTATATTCTTTAAATAGTATTTTTCTCCAATACATAATTATAAAGTGTAATTATGAATGATAAATAATGTAAAGTTTATTGAGTTATTTGAAAAATATATAAAACTGATATAAACTGATATAAAAAAAACTTTGAGAAGTTTCTCACTAAAAAAGTTGAAAATTTGTGAGAAAATAAATCCTCCAAATTGTGTGAAAGATGGTGAAAGATTTTTTATTATAATAAGACAAAAAAAAGAAATTTATGTGTGTGTGTGTGTGTGTGTGTGTGTGTGTGTGTGTAGCATGTATATATTGATTAGATACATAAAAATATTATTTTTGAGTTTGTTTAAAGAATAGAAATATTTTTAATAAGACATTACATTACTTCAGACTACGCCATTTAAATTTAGATTATCATGCAGACAACCTGCAAATATCTGTTTCAACAACATCAAGATTCATCTGCTGTTGCAATGTTCCAACGATGTTCGGGCGTGTCCGTATATACATCAAATTGATTTACTACGAGCGAAGTGCTTTTTCCGACCTTGTGACTTGTACAGTAGATGTGGATAATCTTGATATCGATCATCTTTAATTCAATTGCAATGCTCGAAAAAGATAGCAAAAGATGCATATATATATATATATATATATATGCGTATATCCATGCAGACATACATACATATAATGTATAATATCATATATTATATAAATTAAAACTGTATATACTTATATACTACAAATCAAAAAGTATTAATTTGTCAGTGTACATAACGACGTAATTGTGTATATTAATTTTTTGTGTTTGATGCTAAATATTCGCACACGTTAAATTAAGTAACGCATTTATTAATTACATGCAGGATAATCCATTTATACTGTACAGGTATCGACGTAGAAAGATTGATTATATATCGTCTATACATAATATATCTTAATTAGAAAATTAATTAACCAAACGTTTTTGTAATCTACCCGCGGCTTATCCAAATTTTGATCGAATGACTGAATATAAATTAACGGATATATTCTTAACGGATATATTCTTAAGTATTTGTAAAAAAAATAAGAATATTTAGTTCATATTATATTGAAACTATTGGGGCTATATCTATTAAACATAAATTTAAATTATAGCAAGATGTACACATAATGTACACAAATTGTAGCTATTCTATTTATTTAATTGATTTTAATTTCTGTCATGTTACGTAAATTTCAGGTAATACAAAAAAAATATTGATGTACCTTTTATTCATTGTTATTTATGGGGCTTTTGCGCGTCTAATGGCAGATAAAGTTGCTTCAATTTATGACATTGTGCGTTTTGCTTCGAACATAGATATTTTTCAGGTCCGATTGAATTCTATTTCTTCTGGCAATTTTATGTCGTTCAATT